AAGAGAGAAAAGGTGCCTTTTACCTCTGTTTCTCCCTAACTGCTGCTGGCACTAAAGCAGTGCTTGCTGTGGAGGGTGAAGCATAGGGGAGAACCTGGAAGGTTGCTTGTGTGTCTGTAGTGGCCAGTGGGCAAATAAAGCTAGTTGGAAATTATAGATGTCACTGTTTGGAAAGAAAACTGGTGAGAAATTCCTGGGGCTGTGATAGAAATGAACTTAACCTAGAGCTCGCTGCCTAAAGTTTACAAGTCATCTGAGTGACGATGTGTTTCAGATAGCATCTCACCTGGCACTGGTCTGCTGCAGCTTCTCAGAGGGCTGGTTGCTAAGACTCCTAAGTCGATCCTCAGAACTTTCCTACTCTCAGGGTTTACTGGAACCCATCATCTCATGTTGCTGGTTCTGATATTAGGTGTACCTCCAAGGCCAGAAGCATACCTCTCTGCTTTTCATTCCTTCTCTGTGGGACAGGGGTGAGTAGTATTCAGAGTACACCCTCACATTCTCCACATGTCTAGGAGTGCTGGGCAGTCTTCCTTCCGTTTTTAAGCACACCCATCTCTGATCCCAAGGAATGTCAGGTTCACAATGGGAAAATCTGGGCCATCTGGTAGTTGCTATCACTAAAACTTTAAAAGCAAGCAGTTTGATCCCTGAATATTGGATACAGAAGGGGAGTCTAATTGATCAGGGCAGAAGAGCCAGCTGGATGTGGTGGACATAGTGGTCCCTTTCCCCCATACTCTAAAAGTTCGAAGGAAAAAGGAAGCAGGGCTAGAAGTTACCTTATGAGGATGCTTAGTAGGATGCTATAGATCACACCTACCACTTCTACATTACAGGGTACAGTAAATCTATCACACAATTGTTGCCATAGAAAATGCTGAACAGCATCATTCACTATCTGGTTCCTCTTTTTGGGGTGAGTCCCCATTACTCAGGGGAGAGTCCCCAACACAGCCATAACTATACGCTGTGGCCTGCCTTGCTGGCACCAAGTTCAAGAGCAGATCTATAGCTCCTGTGGCTGAGGTTCCCAGAGCTGTTCTGGTCTTGCCCTTCCTGAGATTTAATTGTTAAATTTCCTTGAATTCTATAAATTTATTCAGTAGATTTTGAATCTACTGCACTCCTTCCTTTTTGTTCCTTGCTTACACATATCAGAGTTCAAGCACAGCATTTGGAGTGTATCTTAGTTCTACAGGCCTTTGGTTAATGAGGTGACCATAATGATGATGGCATACCATACCCTAGTCCAAACCAACATAATTTCTCACCTGAGCTACTGCAGCAGTCTCCCTAGAAGCACACCCCACTGCTTCTACTCTTGCTTCACTCTATGCATTCTCAGCAAAGTGGACACTGAACTTAAATTTTAACCAGATCAGTGACTCCTCGGATCACAACTCTTCAATGGCTTCCCAGTGTTCTCAGAATAAAATCTAAAACCCTTCCTTCCAAACCCCTTCTTATCTCACGGCCTTCCCACGCGTTATTCCTTTCTGGTGCTATTGTCTCTCTACTCATGAGCTTAGCCCATTTCTGCTCATTCTTTGGAGTCTTGGTTGAAGAACCACATTCTCTGAGGCCTTACTTGCTCTTGCTCTCCATTCTAAAATGTGACTCTTTTTTACAGCATCTGCTCCTTCCCTTCATGGTTCTCATTAAGGCTTGTAATTACATAGCGATTTTGTGTCATGTCTGTCTCCCCCACGAGACTCTAACTCTAGCACAGTCACGGGCATGTGATAGGTACTCAAATATTTGATGAACGAGTGAATAGGAAAAGGCTGGCATGACAGCTGAGATGTGAGATAAGAACCTGGACTTAGGGGCTAGTGATGGAAAAGGAACAAGACCGATACAAAGAGAAAAACTCAACAGTACTTGATGACAGGTGGTGGGAAGAAGATAATGCTTTAATAGTCAGACATGCCACCTGAACTGGAGAGGAAAGAATTGAAGACAGCTAAATTTTCAAACCTGGGTGACAAGTCTTAGGTTTGGGAAAAATATGTTAACGTCGGTTTTAAACATATTGGTCGGAGATGACAAAGGGTATTCAAGGGGAAGTGTTCAGAAAGTTGCAGGGTGGAGTTAGCGCTTTCGCAGGCCAGGAGCATAAGAAAAAAAGGCAGAGCAGATGTGCAGAAGTGGAAGCTGAAGCATCTGAGACTTCTCCGATGCTGCGGAGAGGCCGACTTACCTCTCTTAAGGAACAGCTACCCCAAAGGGATGAGCAGGGGCGCACCCAGGGTGTTGGTAAGCACCATGTGCCACATAGTCTAATACTGTCATTTCACACATGAGGAAACAGAAGTCCAAAGAAAGTCACATAACAAGTCATGGGCAAAGCACTCCAACCCTTTTCCTGACTCTTAAAATCCAGCTTCCTTGACATTACAACACAGAAACCTTCCGCATTTTCACAGGCAGATCTGCTTTACAGTGGACACTCAATGCCATTTCCTGATGTCAAAGCAGGCAAACAACAGTCAGAATTTCACTTCCTTAGTTTATTAATGATGGCAATTAACTGTTAGGCTCTGTAAGAACTACAACAAGTAGAAAAAACAGTTCGGAACACGAGTTACACGCATACAGAACATCTCCATTTAAACTCTTGCTCCTTTTACATTACTTCAATAAAAGCTCTAAAGCTTTGGCAGAGAAAGTCAATTAACAGCCTCATTTAAGTGGAAAATATATGCCTCCCACTCTTCTGCTATATCTTGAATCTTGTCTCCACCATGTTAAGCAAATTGTTTTGTTTCCCTTTATTTACAGAGAACACGTCTCTCCTGTTTTATTCAGAAGGAACTCTCTTCAGTGCATTTAGAAGCTTTTCCCCACACAGAGGGATTTTCCAGATACTGGTAAGTTGCAAAGTGCTTTCAAAACATCCTATCCTTTGCCCTCTCTCCGCCACTCTCAGATAAATAAATAAATGGGTATTTGGACAGTGGTGACAGCATGGTGTCAGGGTCACTAAAACAGATATGCAGGCTAAAGGGATGGAATTGGGAAAGTGGGGAAAAGTGAAAAACCAGGAATATGTAAGACCATTGAGCTCAGCTGCAGAAGCTGTTTATTTTTCAGCGCTTTCCTTCCTTTGATCCTATGCTAAAATGAAACAGGCAGGACAAAAAGAGAGTACACCTCTTCTCCAGTGTAGTGACTTGGAGTAAGCAGCTGAATTTGTCATTTAAACCAAAACTGGAAGTAGAGCTCACCATATTTTATAAGCCGGAATCTGGGGTTAACCCTCAAGTAAGACTTGTGTTATGTGGGGTCATTCCCAAAGCTCCTTGAAGGGCAAGGGAGCTTCCAGGAAGCCCTTCAAAGACTGAGCTCGGCTAAAGGCCTTGCTTTGACAGTCTCACCACCAGAAGAAGCAAGAACAGCCTGCGGGCCTTCCAGCCTGATATAGCCTTCAGATCTCAAGTCTGATCCCACACCATGAGCCAATTACAACATGCCGCTTCTTCCTGGTGGAGCCTCAGCTCTGGCCATTACCTTAATACCCCTTTCTCCGTCCATGTGAGACCCCAGGTCTCTCCAGCTCAGTTAATCAGCTTCCACCAACCATATGCAACTTTCTGTTTGGCTTCCTGGGGAAGTGCACAAGCCATGTGTTTTCTACAGCAACTAACTATGGGGAGACAAGTATACAGGAAGAATCCAGTTCCATATCAAAACTGCTATGGGCTTTAGTTCACAGAGCTGCCAGCCCTCAGAGCAGCAACCCTGACCAATGTCTCACCTAGAGGTTAGAAACTAAAGCAACTTAAAGATCACCACAGACATATACAAGGTCCCATCCACAAAATTTTCCCATCAAAACACATTTAAAAAGGGAGGAAGGTTAAAATTAGTAATATGAAAAGGATGACTGAATATATGAGTATCACGAGGCTAAAAAGTTAAGTGCATAATTGACATAAAGGCTCTTGTTATCCCAAGAACACAGGAACATTCACACTCACATCCACAAATTGTCAAGTTCTGTAACACCACTAATAGCAGGAAGCTTTTTCCCCAATGTTGACAAAAGAAAATAAGGCAAGAGATCAACCACCAGGGAGGGTCCCAGCTCTGATACAGGAAGGGGAAAGAGAATGGAGTTGGGTCATATTTTTACTAAGAACCACAAGGATCATCTAACAGAGGACAGAGCAGTAAGACTCCCTAACAAGATGATGCATAGGGTTTCTGTCCTCTACTTAGGATGGCATCAGGGACTTGCCTGAGCTTGAAAGATCATACTGCACCAAACTATGTTGACTAAAAGGGACCTTATACCTAAAAGTGGGCCAACAGCTCCTGTGACTAGATAAATGATCTTTAAGCAACAGAGTTGTAGCCTCACTTATACCTGCTGTTAAGGCTACAAATGGGCCTGGCTTAAGCATCAGTTCCATCCTTTGCACCAAGCCCACCAACACAGATAAAGAAAATTGGCTTGTGGTACCTTAGTCCTGACTGCCTCCTTGAGGCCTCTGAGAGTGCCAGGGTAGTACTGGTGTTGCTTTTATGGCCCCCAAAATACATAAATAAGCTGGACAGAATGTCCACGACACAGTTCTCTTCTCCGTCATTTCTCCTCAGGGCACAATCTGACCCTATGCCAGGATCTGGGAGAGAAAAATTCCATGCCCATTTCAGCAGCAAAGGAGAAACAACTTGGGTGAAGAAAGGCCTGGCTCAGAAGCTCTGACATTAAAAGAAAATAAAACTGGAAATGACACTTGAGATCAGCTGAAACCAGATCTGGTCCTAGGGGAAAAGGTCATGGATGTCAGAACTGGGTCTGGCTATCCATTCCCCCCGATGGAGGCACTAGAAGCTTCACTTAAGGACCTACTTATCAGTTCTGACGGAAAAACCTAGTGCCTACAAATTATTTGTCACAACAGGCTGGACCCTAACAACCTAACAAAGGCCAGACAGGATGGCTTACACATGAATGTCAGACAAGTCATTAAAAAAAATACATCATTAAAAGAAAAAAAAAGCCCCAAGTGGGGAAAGTCCTTAAAGGGTGGCTCAGTTCTGCATCATGTGTGACTCTAGTCTCTAGACGGACAGCATCATGTGCTTTCTTCAGGTGGTTTCCAGGATAGTAGCTTCTAGGTCCACAGCTTCAGAGGGTTCCTCCTCATAGTCTGACAGATAGGATTCCAGGCTCTGCTTGGCCAACAGCTCCCGCCGGGCCTGTAGCCGCTCACACCGGGGACAGCTTTCAGACTTGAAGCAAGCTTTATGGTAACATGCTTTACACTCTACTCATGTTAGGAAGGTGAGAGAGAAAGAAAAGAAGATTTGTGTTATCCATAGCCCATTCTCATTACCGTAGCTCCACGCTCCTGAGGTAAAACACAGGGAGTTGCTGAATCAAACTAAACTCTTACCAATAGGGGGAACTGATGGGAAACCACTAGCTTTGAGTTCAGTGGTGTTTGGCCCACTCCTAGCCCCAGCCCTCACCTTCACAGGTCCGGCACTTATGGAGCTCAAAAGGAAAGATGATGTCATCCTCATTCTGACAAAACTCACAGATGAAGCCCTTGGCTTGGCAGAGCTAGAGAGGAAAGAGGCAGAAAATGAGGAGCAGCAACTGGCACAAGAGGACAAGCACAGGGGAGGGGGAGGGAAGAATATTTAAGTAAAAACTGAGTAGGCTCTAAGGGGTTCTACCATCTACAGGGAAGAGGCCTAGGCTGAACCTAGAAGCCTGAATGCCAAACTAGGGGCAGAGCTAGGCAGTGTTACAAGAGATGCACAAGTTCAAGAAATCCTTACCACTAGAATGGCCCTCAATGAAGAGAGGAAAAGAAGGATGGGACGGTGCAATGAGGGCCTTCCTAAACTCAGTATTCTGGTCTGGGTAATGACTTTACTTTGAGGTAGGAACCACAGCCAATTAAGATAATTATGTGAAGACAAAATGTGAAAGGTGAGGTGTTTTACCCTGCATTGGGTCCGGTTATAATGAAATCTTGCCAAGTCCCCTAAGCCCACCAGGATTCTCTATGTATGCTCTATTTTAAGCTCTGACTCTGAGACTGACACAAGAATATAAACTGGGCATAGTCTAAGGAGGGAAGTTTAAAAAGAGTAATTTTTTAAACTTCTGGCAGTTTGAGTACATAAAGACAATAGTAACTCACATCCATAGAATATTTAATGTTTATAAAATGTCTTCATATAAATCATGTCATTAAATCCTCAAATAATGAGAAGAAAGGATGGTAAGCATTATCTTCATTTTAGAGGCAAAAAAAAAAAAAAACAACTGATGCTTACACAGAGAGGGCAAAATACTTCATTTAGTCAATGATTGAAAATAATTAAGCCGATACCTCTTCATTCCAATTCTAATCCAGGGTTTCTCCTACAACATTGTGATAACGCTTTAGTGAAGACCTGTCAGTTCCACTCTGAGCTACCCAGGGACAAAGCCAGGACCAAATCTTCTTCTAATTCTAGGTTCTCTAGATCTAGATGATTCAGTTGTTCAGCCCCCCAGGAAACAGTATTCCTGTTCAGTTTTTCTCAGTGTTGACAGACCATTTCTACTTCCCGGAGCCAAATGGCAAGAATCCTGGGTCAACCCCATCTCTCCATATCCCTAAGCAAGGGCCCAGCTGCATAAGAATTTCTCACCATACATCGCTCTACATGGGTAGCCCCTGCCCTGGTGAGCTCAGCAAGCCGAGGCCCCAGCTCTCCCTTCCTGGTTGCAGTCAGGTCATTCAATGAGTACAGGTGAAGATCCTCTGTCAGGTGACCTGGAACTGTGTCAAAGGAATCCAGCAGCCTATAGAAAATGAAGGGAATGGAGTACAGGCAGGGAATGAACACTCTGTGTGGCACAGCATGATAGGTTACCTACCAAACAGTAGGAGAGAGAAGGGTTCGGGCAAAGGTAATGATGATAGGCAACACTGGGGGCAGTCTTGGAGCCTTAGGCCAGCCTGGGAGTTCCTGGCCATACCAGCTCTCTCACATTACTGGGTGTCTAGATGGCAGAATGACTTTTACAACCTCCTATAGCATGATTCATGCCAACTTACAAAGAGCAGTGGGCCTATCTTGGAAAGAATAACCATAGATTTCCCCCTTTCAGAGAGAAGGATACAGACCAGTTACTGCTGGGTCCTCTCATTTACTACTTTTGGAATTTTCTTCAAGATCCCCCTGCTCCCTCCTTTTTCATATGCCAAAGGCCAACTGCTGAAACATGTCCTTTCTAGAGACATTAACTCAGTCAGAGGCCTCTGGCTTCCACAGAAGACTTACTCTTTGGCCAGTCGACATGTCTTGAACATGTTCTTCATGTGATACAGCTGGACCCGCAGCAGCTGAAGAGAAAGCAAGGGGACAGGGGAGAGGGAAAGAGGAAGAGAAGAGGAGAAAATTACTGTTAGGGCTAAAAGAAGAGTCCCTGAGTGGTGCAAATGGTTAACTGCTAGACTACTAACCAAAAGGCTGGTGGTTCAAACCAACCCAGAAGTGTCGTGGAAGTAAGGTTGGCGATCTGCTTTCAGAAGGTCAGTTTTGAAAACCCTATGGAGCAGTTCTACTCTGCACTTGAGGGGTTGCCATGTGTTGGAATGAAGTCAATGGCAATGAACAACCACCACAGGACCATATGAAAGATCAATGCCTTTAAACTTTAGGCATTTGCATGTAGCAGCTACAGCTGGACTGTCCTCTACTTGTCTAACTCAACAACTTGCTCCAATGTGATCTCCAGTCAGGGAAGGCCTCTCCATTAGACAGACTAGACAGACTAGTGGGCTGGTCAGTCTGCCTAAATAATACAGAAGCCTAGCTACAGCAAAGAAGAGAACTCCAGAATTCTAATTCCCCACCTGTTGTCCTGCTCTGCCATCAAAAGTGTATTCAGTGAAGGAAGAAATTCTGCATTTGCTATCAAGCCCTCACTGTCTATGGCTTCAATGTTGTCTTAGCAAGGGTTGAGACTGTAACTAGCTAGATCTCTGGGAAATGGGAAGAGATTATGAAAGAACATAGAGAAAGCATGAAGGATGAGATGGTTACAGGCCTGACTTTGTGACAAAGAGAAGTGTAATGAACTTGGGAAAGCTGGTATGAACAGAAGGAGGGGATGAGAAGGGTGAGAATCTATGATGTGGCCTTGTCAAGGGTCTTACCCGGACTTGATTGAGGAGCTTAACCTTCCTATAGAGGGCACTGTTGATGTCCTGCACATTAAACAGAGGATCGTTCCAGATCTTAATGAGCAGGTCCTTGGAGAAATTGCTGACATAGTACTTGCTGAAGTCCCACTTTCGAAGAACTCGGCTGGGGATGACCATCTGGGCATTCTCATGGCAGCACTGACAGAAGTACCTGCCCAGGTACTCACAGTATCGCAGCCGCTTGATATAATCTGGAAAAACAGGAAAGCCAAAGGCCAGATGCCACTTTCCCATCTACAAGGTGGTGAGGCAGTACAGCTATTCGCCTTGAAAGAACAGGAAGGGATGGCCAACGGGCTCCACCCACCTCTGTCTGAGCTCCCCAAAGCTGACATAAAATCAACACAGTGGGGCTTGTGATTCCTGTGTCCCACCCCAGAGGCCACTGGGAAACAACTCTGTCAGGGTTGGTAGGACCTGGTCTCCAAGAACCTGGCTACAGCTACCCAATTTTCTCCAGTATACAATCCCAGCAATGTGCTCCCAGAAATAATGTCCCTTTGACTGCCACTGGTCTCACCTAGTCTTATTCTTCCCTCCATGCCCTTTTTCTCTCTTTCCTCATTTCTGCCCTATCACCTCTTCTTACTACTTCTCTGAACAAGCCTGTCTCTTCCAAGGGTTAGGAGGGTAATGCCCTTGGAGGCAGTATGGGTGGATACTCACCAGGGTCAGTCCGGATGCCACATCCTGCACAGCGGTAATTCTGTTTGGCCACAGCAATTTTCCTTCTGAAAAAAGATTAGGATTGGCAGATACCAGAGGCATGAGGCCTCTGAGTTGTAAAGGTGAGGATGCAAACATAAAATTCTTGTTAAAAATGGGAAGAGGGGGGAATCCTTTTTTTTTTTTTTTTTAGGGTTGGATGATATGAATTAGGAGAACAAATTCAAACAGAGGCTATAAAGTCAGAATTTAGGTCTGGACAGGGACTCTTCCCTACAGTGATTTCCCCCACCCTGGCACCCTGATGAGAATAGATAAGTAAACTTAAGTAAACTAAATTACCCCAACTATTTCCCCCACCCTGGTTAAGACTGATAATTAGATAAGAACCGATGGGAATAGATAAGTAAACTAAATTATCCCCAACTCTTTTCCTATCCCTGACAGATGAGTATTCAGTTCCTTAAAGAACTGAATGGAAAACATTCCTTCCTGCAGATGATAGACTTACTAAAAGTATTTTATAAACAACTTGTAAATTAACTCTGGCCTGGGATAGGACAAAAGAACAAAAGTTAATTACAGACCCTCTTCCCTCTGCCCTAGCCCCTATCATCTGATAACAGGAAACATTTCAAATTCATACCCCAAATTCCTCAATCTTTTGTGAATATGCACAACCCCCTCTCTGTTCACACCCCAAATTCCTCAACCTTTTGTGAATATGCACAACCCCCTCTCCTGAAACCTACAAAAACTGTGTTTTGATGGCATGTCTGGGGAGTTTAGATCTGGGAACTAAACTACCCCTAACTCCTTGCACTGCTGCTTTGCAATAAATAATTTTCTCTCCTCTCAACCTCGGTGTGTAAACTATTTTGGCCTGACTGCGCACTGGTCAGGGAACCGCGTTTGGTCCAATAACATACTTATGAAAAATGCTGAATTGCCCAATTTTGTGTTCTTATATTTCTACAACTGTGGTCATTAAGGTTATGTGTCAACTTGGCTGGGCTTGGTTTTAAGTGGCTGGGCAGCTGGATATAGTTATTCCCCATGATGACACTGTTAATCAACTCCATGGTGGAATGGATGGTGAGCAGCTGAGTAGCTGCCTTAGGGATGTGGTCTGCTTCTAGTATATAAAAAGACAGCTTTGAGAAAAGTCTTAAATTTCTTGGCACATTTGGATCCTGCATTTGGCAGAGTCATCTGTGAGTGGACTGCCATGTTGTCTGCTAATCTAAGGGCTGTTTCTGGACTTGAACTAGTGTCCTGCTGTGTTGCTTGATAATTCTGAGACTGTGCCATTTTACTAGCTGACCTTGGGTTTGTTAGCCTCAGCAGCCAGCAGCTGCCTGAGTTAACAGAAGCCTCCACTTCTGCTGGGCTGCGAGCAAGAAGCAGAGCTGAAGCCCAAGGTCGAGAGGCCTTCACCCCTAAACTATAGAGGACTTCTAGCCTCCTAAACTATAAGAGAATAAATAGATGTTTGTTAAAGTCATACATCTGTGGTATGTCTGTTATAGCAACATGGGAGAACCAAGACAACAACAATGAAAAAAATGTATTTTTTTTTTAAATGTAAGGTATGAGAAATAGCAGAGAACAACAGGAGAGAAAAACATTCATGCTTCGTAGAGAAGAAAAAAAAACAATAGGCTCACAAAACTATTGGAAGGAAGGCAACAGGTTGGCAATGCCAGTGATAAAGGACCTCATTTCTGGTTAGCTCTGAGAAGGAATGGGACAAGTGAGAGTAAGATTTGAGGACAAGATGGATAATATTCTTCTCCTTCTGCCTTTAAGGAGAAGCAAAATTGTACGGGAGGTACAGCTGGAAGAAGAAATAAGAGGGTGAGGAGATAGCCCTGGCGATCCAAAGAGGACACACTCATTTTCTGAAGGATAGCCACTGGCTACTCACGTTGGAGCTGGATGAACATTAAATATTATCTGAGGCCGGGGTGGGGCCCACTCCAAATTCCCACGAACACGAATCCGCAGCTTGTAGATGTCAGCGTGCTGCCCATCATCTGGTGAGATGGGCAGTGAGTCAGGGATGGGCAGGAGCTGTAGAAGAAAAGCACAGGCTGACCTAACATGGGCAGTCTGAGGAAAGACGGACTTGACCCTCCTGGTCATGACAGAAGAATAGATAATGAAAGACAATTCAGAAATGCCATAGGTAAGGGCTCAGGGAACCTTGGCTCTTGAAACAAACCATAAGGCAATGTTGTTGTTGTTATGTGCCGTCGAATCTGAGCCGACTCATAGCGACCCCTCCTTGGGTTTCTGAGGCAGTATCACTATGGAAGTAGATTGTCCCATCTTCTTCCAAGGAGTGGCAATAGGGTACTAGAAATGAGGACCATTCAGGGTGTGGCACCCATTGCTGATGCTGTCTTTCTCCCCACCTCTAAGATCCCTGGTATACCAGAATGCTTCATGCCTTAAAGACTCAACTGCAGAGAAAAGAAGAATCTGAACGATTCTCCTTTTTTAAGTGTCTCAAAGGTATCTGCAACTCAGGCATTCTGCCTCTGGGCCTAGTTAGCAAGTCATATGGAATAAGGACAGTGAAGGAGCTATTTTCTCCTGTTTTGACAATTACCAGGGAAAACCAAGGCAAGCATTCGTTCATTTAATAGATCTGTAATAAATGCTTCCTATGAGTAAGGAATGAAACACATCCGCTCCTGCCAGTTGAGAGACAAAGAACAAAGTCAGAAAGGCTCACAGCCTTCCGGTGCTGGACAGTGAGTGGGGAAGAAGGACTGAAGAACCCCTACCTTTTGAGGGGCATCATGCTCTGGGACTAGCCACTCTAGTTCCGAGGCAGCAGGGAGTTGCATCCCCTCAAACTGCTTCAAGAGCCCCATGGCCACCGCCTCAGCAGATGTGGAGTGTAGGAAGCAGTGGGAACTAGGAAGGAGAGAGAACACCAGGAAAGGACAGGAAGATGAGAACCTACCCGTCAGGAGCTGATACCAAATGCAGTAACATCTGGACTGACAGAACACTTACAGCACCTCCAGGCTGTTCAGTTACTTTTTGGTGACAAGTAATAAAGTGAAAAAAATACTGGTTTTACAGTCCTAAGAGGTAGGCTCTAATCCCAGTCCCTAGCTTCCTGATCATTACATGGCACTGCTAGTTAAGGATTCTGCATTACTTCCTTTCTCTAAACTTCAGTTTCTGTAACTACAAACTGGAGATTATAATGCCTTTTTACAAAACAAAGTGAGTAAATCTGCTCTGTGGGCTGTAAAGTGCTTTCGTTCCTCTTAAATGAGCTATTATTTCCCTTAACTGGGCCCACATTGTGAACTCTGTTCAATCTGACTCCATAATCAAAAGTCATGATTGTAGCTCCTTCTTTGCAGGCCTTATCTCCTGGGCCTCTGGTATGCTCAGGGCATAGCAGAGAAGGGGCATGAGCCTTGCTGCAGAGCCCACCCAGTTTGTATCGAAGATGCTCTGTTCTCTTCCTCCTTTGTGCTCACCACTATCAGGCAGGTCCATGACTTTAACCTTGCCACCTTGTAAACTTGGATGGCTTCATCCATGGCCAGACACCAAAAACTAGGCAGGTTTCTTCACACATCCCAAGGTTTTATAAAGAGTACTCACAAGGACTGAGAGGAAATGAAGGATTTGCTGCTTGAGGCTGTGCTCCTTCTGATGTCAGCATCTAAATGGAGACCAGAGATAAAAGGAGCCAAAATGGAAAAGGGCAGAAGTAAGAGACAATGGAAACTATTACAAGGTGTAGCCAGCTAAGCATTCAGAGCAACAGCTAGGTGCCGCATTGTATGCAGGATAAGGAGCAGAGTCTGGAAGACCACTCAGTGAAGCTCTAAACACAATTTATACTTCGGCTCTATCCAAGTTACAACCAGGCTGAGTTAGTAACATTAAGCATAGCACTGAGAAAGTCAAAATGGTTACAAACTCAGGTGGAAACACAAACTCAGATTTGGTGCAAAACAGCGAATGAGAAAAGGACACAGGGTTATACTCCCCCTAACAAACAGAACACAAAATAAATGACTCCCATCTCTCTCTCATTCTCTAAAGCTCAAGCTCTCTTAAAGGATAAAGCCCCAGAGGCATGAACTCAGCCAAGGTCTCTTTAATATCAGAAACCTAACAATGAACTTGGATCACAGAAGTTACTTACTAAATGTATGTGGAAATGGAATTTTGCTTCTAACATCTTATCACTGTTGCCATTTCCTCTGAATATTAGAACTCTTCTATATCCTTAAAAATCTTCATGGAAAAATTTCCTTCCTGTCTGGCGGCATACAGAGAAAAAGAACTTCCTATGGCTTGGCAACTCCCTGGAGATACCTGGTAACCAGCAAGTTTTCAGATAACCAATATGATCCTTACTATATAATGCTCAGGGCTTTTTTCCAAAGTCCATTTCTGATACAGGATTTTGAAGAAGATTTCTAGTAACAATGTGCCTGACCCTCCAGACACCTCATCTATCCAAATACTTTTGATGGATGAAAAGCAGAAAAAAAGAATGTGAAACATAGCAATCATATTCAAAAAAGGCAGACAAGACTGTTCTGACAAGCTCCAACCCCTCATTTCCTCTGATGTCCAGTGAAAAGACCTTTTTTTCCTAATTAAACCTACACAACTAATCAATTGACTGGGTTTGATCCCCTCAACAAAACGCTAAGCTTATAAGATATCATTCTGCACTTGGTCATGACATTATCATTGTTCATCACATTTCCTTTGTATGTGTATGTATGTGTGAATGTGAATATATGTCTGTGAGTGTGTATATGATCTATACTTGTATGTAAAGCCAGATTATAAAATATTTGTGAAGAAATGGGATTGCATCTAATTTTTCTGTTTGGCCCTAAAATACTTACCATAGAGCTCTGCATAATATTGCTGACAAATTAATGTCTTCAAAATTTTATACACAGGTAAGAAAACAATGGAAATCTGTCAGTTTTCATGTGCTCTCTAAGCACAGAAAAACTTAAGACAGAGACAAAATTTTTAGCTGGTAATTAACAAAGGTTATTTTATTTAAAACAAATTAAGTATGTGTATGTCATATTTTTTCTGAACTTGTACCATTAATGATTTGCTGTTGTTGGGTACGGTCAGGTCAATTCCGACTCATAGTGACCCTATCTGACAGAGTAGAACTGCCTTATCGGGCTTCCTAGGCTATAACCTTTACGGGAGCAGTTTGCCAGGTCTTTTCTTGCATGAAGCCTCTGGTAGGTTGGAACTGCCAACCTTGTAGTTAGCAGCTGAGTGCTTAACCAGTGCACATCAGGACTACTTCACTAACGCACTACTAGTTGTCTATTCATTCCAATTTGTGCTGGTGGATGAAAGAAAGTTAAGCCTTAGGACACAGACCTTCACAGACTGATTTACAACATTTTTCTTAGTAACACTTGTAATATATTGCCTTAGATTATGTATAGGTCTTGCCTTTGTAACCCTCAGTGTGCTGTGTACCTACTAAATTCTCGGAAAATATTTCCTAAATGAATGATTAATGGGCTAAAACCGAAAAGCAAACGTAAATCTGTTTGGGAGTGATAGAAAGGGATAATGAGAGAAAATCTTAGACAAATCTCCTTGCACGAAGAGCTAACTTGCTTAGTTACTTTCAGCTAGGCTATTAGAGAAAATGCAGCACACTAGAGAGGAGAAGTAGTTGGTAAGTCATGGTTGCTAAGGAAACCACTGCCTTCAGAAAAATATTTAGCAATTCTTCTTCCTCACAGAGAGGTAGTCTTTTTGTTTGGGGGGGGGGGGAGTCATTCTCTTCCCTTTGGAAAAGATGGTTCTGTTTTGTCCTTTTTTTCACGAGATGTAATAAGGTCCAAGGTACTGTGGGGACCTCCCAGGTAATCACAAATGTCTCCAGGACTGTGAGGACCCACAGCTTGGGGTGTGAGGACCTCACCTCAGGGGCTGGAGGGTAAAGGCAGCACCTGATACGAAAAGGGACATGACACCTGACACTGGCCAAGCACCCCAAAGGTCCTGTGGCTACTGGTCTTCTGCTACAGCCCACTGACTTTCCAGTCAGTTCAAGCACATGATTAAGTGGATGTGATTGAAACACTAGTCAAGGCCCTAAGAAAAAGTAGAATAGGGAATAAGACAATGAAGAAGTGAAGAGAGAGAAGGGAGCTATTCAACTGGATGGATTCAATGTACCCCAAATAAGAGCACTTTACAAAGAAGTCTGAGATGCTTTGCCTTCCAAGTAGAAGTTAACACAATAATGAAATTTTTATTTATTATTATCATTAAATCAATTGTGTGTTCAAAACACAAATATATTTTTTTGCTAAGAGAACTTATTTCAAATGATTCTGATGCCTTAGACAGGAGCTATTATTACTGACAGAAAAAATTTTAAAAACATAAACAAAGAAACAATGACATGTTAGGAGAAGAAATTGCTGCATGTCAGACATTGGTACTGGGAGGATCAGGGAAGAACTGGTTAAAACCCTGGTATACTAGCAAAACTTGAAAAATGTTAAACAAAATAAGTGGGGCACAGGAAGAGAGTCAGCCCCCAGTATTTACTGGCCAGTCTTTTCTTCTAGCAGAAAGGGTAATACCAGTTTGGGAATCCAACTCTAATGAATTGTCTGCAGTGCTGACTCAAGAGGAAACATTTAAAAATGAGAACCATAATCATTCTTATTTAAAAGGGGGAGAAACTGACTTTAAAAGGGGTGTGGAGAGGGGAGAAACAGCTGATTATCTTAAATGGGATATAATTTAAAATCGTGTCAGAAAATACAGTCCATGAATCTTCCTCTTTACACGTTGTGTTACTTCTGCTCCAACTGAGGTAAACTCTGAGATAATGTTGTTCTTATGTGCCGTCCTGTCAGACCCGACTCATAGTGACCCCTCCTTGGGTTTCCAAGGCGGTATCATTACGTTAGTAGATTGCCCAACCTACCTTCCAAGGAGTGGCTGGTGGATTTGAACTACCAGCCTTCTGGTTAGCAGTCTGGTGGATTTGAACCACCAGCCTTCTGGTTATAAGTCAAATGCCTTAGGCACTATGCTACCAGAGCTCCCCTAACGTAATGGACCTGTAAATATGTCTCCTTCATCAGCTGGTGCTATGTTAAGCTTTGTCAGTAGAGGGCACTGGAGGGACAGTGGAGGAGGAAGGGACTTCTCTCTTCCTGGTTCCCTGTGCTCCTGTGGCAGAGGCCTGCACTATATGTGGCTTTCCCCTTGTGGGAAGCATGCCTTTGGGTGGCTTTGCAATAGAGTGCCACAAGTGGTACTTCCTATAAACAGCATTCCCCCTTAGAAAGCTTCAGAGAGTGATACAGCCCCAGCATCTCCCCATGAACAGCTTCTACCAGACCCCCTGACTTCTGTGGCATGGCACCTCCCTGTAGGCAGCTTCCCCCAACACCCTAGAGAATGGGTTTTCCAGTGAGTGCTGTTGGCAAGGCACTCCCTCCGGCAGCTCTGAAGGCTCAAAGCACTTCATCACCCAGTGTGCCAGGAGGTCTAGATCTCGGCCCTAGAGGCGTGGCCTTTTTCTATATTTATTCCTTCCTTGGGTGTTCTTTATCAGCCCTCAAGTAATGAATGCTTCCTATATCTGCTACTCCTATATTCCTTAGACTTTTCTTTACTCCAAAATGGCCGCCACTTCTAAATATTCATAATGGCTGCACCCTCCAGAGAGCTGAAAGTCCACAGCTCAGTTTGTCTCCTTCTATGCTGTTTCCCATTTAAGTCATCAGCCACCAGCACAGTCATCCATGCAGCCCTTGGTGAGCAGGGCCAGTTTTTTGGGTAATTCTGAGGTCCAAGCACCACTTGAAAATACTTAGGCTGTCCATATTGTCAGGATAGCTGACAGTCCAAAGCTCCATTTGTCTCCTTATTCACTGTTTTCATTCAGGTTCTTCTACTAGTTGTGTTTAATCTACTTCTATGCCCTTCCTTTCAAAGCTCAGGGCTCCAGGATTATCTTCTGTATCTGTACCAATTGTTTTTCTCTTTTCTTTGTTGAAGAGGGTCTGTGGAGCTTGTCTGCCTGTTCTGCCATTTTACCTGAAGCCCAGACTTTGCTTTACTCCTTGTGACCCAATCTCCCATTACTCCAATCCCCCAATCCCCCATATAGTTAATACTTCTTTTATATTAAACTTTCTCTATTCAAATTACTATGTGGTTTCTGTCTCCTGATTAGACCTTGACTAGATACATGTATAGTGCAGAAGGTTGAAACTCAAAAAGAATCTAGAAAGAAGGTACAGGAAGATAAAGAAGAATTGATAGCTGTAATAAAAGAGGATAAAGGGGGAGGGGGACCCAATATCACCAAAACTCTAAAACCAAAGAAGTTGAAAAGACTGTCTGGGATTGGGAGTTTACAAATGATATCAAACCAACCTGGCAGACACAATCAGAAGAAAGAGGAAGGAAAGGAGCAAGGCAGAAAAGGTCATATACTCCATGATTCCATTTAAATGAAATGTCCAGAAAAGGTAAAATATGTAAGTATAGAAAGCAGATTAGCAGTTGCTTGGGGTGGGGATGGGATTAACAGTAAACAGGTACAAGGGATCTTACTGGAGTGAGGAAAATGTTCTAAAACTGGATAGGGTGATAACTGCAGAACTTGGTAAATTTACTAAAACCCATCAAATTGTACACTTGCAACAGGTAAATTTTATAATATGTAAATTATATATCAGTAAAACTGCTTTTTTTAAAAAAGAAACAGATGTTGTGAATACAAAGCTTTCTATGAAAAATTTTCAGAGAAAAGTTATGATCACAAGGTTTGCATTTAAATAACTTTTAAATCTATTTTCTTCATAAATACTTCTGCTCCATATAGCCTACTTGACGAATTAGGATCTAAGAAAAGTCATTACGTTAAGCTATATGTATGCAAAGTTACCTGTGATAGACTATGTCCATAATTTGATGCTTAAGTACTTTAATTTTTTTCAAAGGTTTTATGGATTCTGTTGGCATTCCTCTTACATTATCCCAAGGAATTCTTATTCCTTGGGATAGCATAAATCACTTAAGCACATAATCACATGTTCAAGAAGCTATGAATATGATCAAGAAGACTGTTTTGAGAAGTACAAGGATACTTTTTAGAAAGAATTTGGTACCAATAATGAATTTGATATGATTAAAGACCAGAAACAGGTGAAGAAGCGCAGAAAACAACAAAGCAAACTAGAGTAGAGAAAGATGAATTGTAGGCTGTACCTTCATAATTGGGAACCTGTGTGTAGAAAGAACCCAAATTTAAGTCATTTATTACTTTGAGAGAGCTTTGTTTTGATTGCTAACCAGCCTGCCCCACTCTTGTGGGTCATAAGAAAAAGTAGTTTTTTAGTTGAAAAAGTTTTCATATTCTTGGGACCCATCACATGTATAATAATTTTAAGCTTCCAAAATTGAAGAAGAAAGAATGCTAAGGAGACTAAATAAAAGTATGCTTTAGGGATAAAGCAGACTGATGATGCCCTGACAGAAAAGTGGTTGATAATCAAGAAACGTACCAGCAAAGGACTGTGGTTTGCAAACACATTAGAAACCAATTAAAAGCTGACTGGACAATTACTTCTTTTCCAGTAGGGGAAGAACAATGTTAGAATAAATCACAACAGGAGTAGAGGAAAATAACACAAACACAAATTACTGTTATTCCTTTAAATCTTGATTTAATTTTATATCATTATTTCAAATTCTAGTGGCTGACAAATATTAACAGTAATAACTAATTGTTTAATAAAAAGTCTTGAGTTTTGCTGAGTAAAAACTACTTCCTTTCAGCTAAGCTCACCTATACAAAGCTTACTTGTTTGGATCACAAAGCCATTCCTAAGGTCATATATCCAGCAGTAAATCCTAATTGTATACAAAGTACCTACAAGAGATGGCTTTCTGAATATTGGTTCTGCAAATCCAAAACTCTAAAGAGACACTAAGCTGTATACCATTGTATCGTACTGTCATTGCCTGAGCTGCTTTAACAGCTTAGCTACGAGTTTGAACTAAAACTCTTAATTTGACCATCCCCTTCTAAAGAGTCCATGTCCTCCATCTTTGACTCCATCACTGACTACTTACTCTAAAATTATCACTGTAGGGAAGGCTCAACAAGAACAAGCTCAGTGCAAAGGACTGTTCGGGTCACATGAGGAAGAAGAAAATGAGTATCTACATTGTTCTGGCTTGTTAACTAGCTACAGTCCAGTTCTTCTCTACTAGCTCTCCAGATGTTAAGAGTTCTCACAGCCTTACTGTAACAGGTGTTACAATATAACCACATATGTACAAAAGCTAGGGCAAACATTCACACACATGCACAGATGAGCACACCCACGCTTCCAACACAGGCTACCTGAAAACATCGAAGCCATTGACACTGAGAGTCCATTCTCTGACATGTGAGTCAGGTTAGATCCTTCGCTACCATCTGTGTGATAATGATTATAAAAGGGGCCCCTTTAGTATTTAGTCAGGAAGTAAATCAATGAGAATGACAGTCTATACCACATGACTTTTTCCCCAAAAGATGAAATGATTTAGGAACTTACATCTACAGGTAGGTGCTCACTATAGCTTGGGAGAGCTATTGCTCTTTCCCCAAATCAGACTCGCTTTGAACACTTCCTGAAGTCGTGGTTCTCAACCAGGGGTGATTTTGCTCCCTTGAGAATATCTGGCAATGTCTACAGACATTTCTGGCTGTCACAACTGAGGAGGCTGCTACTGGCATCTAGTGGGGAGAGGCCAGGAATAATACTAAACATCCTACAATGCACAGGACAGCCCCTCACAACAAAGAATCATCTGGTCCAGAGGTTGAGAAATCCTGCCCTAAGGCCTCTTCCTTTAAGGACTTCTGCAGTGACCTGACTACAGAGTTAGCTGATTAAATATGTTCTATGGGCCCATACTGTAGCAGTCATGTCCAACAGGATAAGGATCCTTCTGGGTTGAACAGCTTTCCTCAGTTCCTGCTTCACAGGGAGTCAGGTGGACTTCTCCACACTCAGTGAAGCAGCAGGTTCTGAATTTAAATTAGCACTAGCCTCACGAAATTCTGACTGCTGACTGACAGAGAGGGCAGGACTCTCTTATTTTCCTCTAATTTGAAGATCAAGTCAATCACATAAAAAGAAAAGAAAAAAATGGAGTTTTAAATGACTACCTAATGTCATGAATGGAAATCTGATACATTAAGGAGAACACAGAAGGGTGGCTTCCTGGAGACATGGAAAAATATGTATAAAAACTGAATTTCTGATAGGGAAGGAATCCAGCTACTAAGTCTGGAGATTTGCATAGATGAATGCATTCTCTAAATGGGTGCAGACAGGAAATCAGAGCTTCAAGCAATGAAAGATCTATTCATCATCATGTTACAATTAAAAAAAAAAAAACAACTCACTGCTGTTGAGTCGAATCTGACTCACAGCGACCCCTCCTTGGGTTTTCGAGGTGGTCATCTCTACAGAAGTAGATGGCCCAGTTTTCCTTCCGAGGAGTGGCTGGTGGGTTTGAACTGCCAGCCTTCTGGTTTGTAGTCAAATGCCTTAGACCCTACACCACCAGAGCTCCCACTGTTGTTGTTGTTATGTGCCGTCGAGTCAGCCCCGACTCATAGCGACCCCTCCTTGGGTTTCCAAGGCAGTATCACTACAGAAGTAGATTGTCCAACCTTCCTTCTGTGGTTGGTGGGTTTGAACCACAAGCCTTCTGGTTAGCAGTCAAGTGCCTTAGGCACTACGTTACCAGAGTACCCACTAGAGAATTATAATTCACCTCTATAAGGAAATATCTCTTGGTTTTACTCATAGGGAAAAAGCTTATATCCCTGAACTGTTTTTTGTTTGTGTTTTTGCTTCCTTCACTGAAGGAACTTGAAGACATCTGTGATTTGCAGGAATGGGACATGAACCTGACACAACTGCCTTCCCTTTCTCTATATAGACACTTCCAACAACAAGAGTCTAGGATTCTGGTGAGCAAGTTAGTCCGGGTTGACTCTACTCTGGTAAACAAGTTACCCCATGTGAGCTCTACTTTGTAAACTTGATTGCCTTCCTTTTTGCTTTTTTTCCCCCCAATGACTATTTTTGTCCTTTTCTCAGAATTATAATAAAGCTCCATTTGAAAACTTCAAAACAAATTATGTTATGGAGTACAAGAGAACAGGATTCTAATTTTCTATAGGTTTGGGCCAGTCCTTGGTTGCTAGAAAGAAGACTTTAGAACCCAAGAGATAGGTAAAACTTGAGGAAGAAACATCAGGGAGACTTCAACAACCAGTTCACTACCTGGACTGCTTCTTTTCAATGTTCTTTTTTGCTTCCATTTTAAAGGGTTTTTGTTTCTAGGAAGAGAAGGTATCCCTTACAATAGTCAACAGTGTTCCATAATGGACCATAATGAAGATCCCTACTTAGGGAAAATTTAGTTTATGATTCCAATTTGGAAGAAATTGCGAATGAAAGCTCTCTTGTAGCAAAGTATCTCTTCTTACCTTGGATTTCAAACTCATCAACCTCATCAGCAGAGCCAGAGTCAGAGAACTGTGTTGAATCACGTGAACTGAACTGGGAGCTGCTGGAAGTGAGCCGAAAGCCTGTTATGTGGGGGAAAAAAACCATAAAACAGGAGAGAAAGAGGTCTCCTATTCCTTCTGGAGTCACAATGAAAGGAATCTGATATGATCTCAACAGGGAGATGCAACCAGAACCCTGGCTGGTGAAGTGGAAACTAGTTCTTCTTACTGGTTATTCCCCTAGCAAGTTCCACGTAAACAGAAGGTATTCTTAATCTGGGAAGAGACTCTGGGACCAGTTGCCTTAGTTCTCGTATCAGAAATTTATTTTGAAAAGAAGTTGTTTCTGAGGTAGGAACTGGACAAGCTCTATGACCAGCATTCCTAGTCTGTAGAAAAAACAATTAGAACAACACAGAAATATCTTTCTGATAGCAGAAGATCCCTTGGCCTAGGGATAACATACCAAATGAAGACAAAATAGAAAGCCCAGAAGGTACTGATCCTTATCCCAAAGCCCTGAATGAGTGGGAACAGCAGGTATTCACAGGCCTCACTCACTTCCATGTTCAGTCTCCTGGTACCCAGGGAGCAGATTCTTGGTGCGGATCTGCTGGCGACGAAGGCGAATCTTCTGTTTCAGTTCCTGAATCTCTCTGTCACTGTCTTCCTCCTCTTCCTCTTCTTCTAGGTATTGATTCATCATGTTGCACTTCATTAGCTCAATGGCAGCAATCAAGGACTCTGAGATGCTGAAGTGGGCATTCTCCTGGGGGAAGGAGAGCACCAAAGAAGTTGCCTGGCAAGGGTCTGGGAGTAATGAATGCCTCACTGAACCTAATAGTGGAAAATGGAACTTCTAAGATCTGCATTGCTTTTATTCAAAACAACCAGGGGAAATGGACACTTCTATTATAAGGAAAGCTGATGGCCAGAAAACCAGTTCTAGATTCTCTTTGTTCTCACACCTGACTGGGCCTGTTTCTTCCATTCTATATGAAAATATGATAGAAGATATCAGGATCTGTCCTAAAGTTATGAGCCTATACACACAGTATTAATTAAATGTGATGTCTCACAATAAAGTGCTTTGCAAACTATGAAATGCAACATGGAAGTTATTTATTACGTATCTGAGCCTTAGAACAAAATATAGATGGTGATTCTGGAAACAGTATTTACTTAAGTTTCCAGATTCAGAGGAATAATAATTGCACAACTAAGGTTCAACGCCTTACTGCCCAAGGTATCTTCTGAGACAAAATCAGCAATAACATTTTTGGATTTAATGAGGAGCACATACTCCCTACAAAGTTCCGCAGAGACAGAGTGTGTTGAGGTTTTCTTTATTATACAGGCAGACCTTAGAGATACTGCAGGTTAGTTCCAGACCACAATAACAAAGTAATCCACATGAAGTTTTTGGTTTCCCAGTGCATAAAAAAGTTATATTTATACTCTACTGTATTCTATTAAGGAGCTCTGGTGGTGTAGTCATTAAGGCATTTGGCTTTTAACCAAAGGTTGGTGGTTTGAACCCATCAGCCGCTCCATGAAAGAAAGATGAAGCAGTCTGCTTCTATAAAAATTTACAGCCTTGGAAATCAAATGAGGGTTGCTATGAGTCAGAGATGACTCGATGGCAGCGAGTTTGGTTTTGGTTTCTGGTTGTCTGTTAAGTGTGTGATAGCATTATGAAAAAGTCTGAAATAACTGTGACACAGAAATACAAAGTGAGTAAACACTATTGGAAAATGGTGCTGACAGACTTGCTTGACACAGGGTTGCCACTAACCTTCAATCTGTAAAAGCTGCAACGTGTGCGAAGCACAATAAAGCACAATACAATAGATCAAGTATGCCTGTAGTCTATATCCACGTCATTGTTGTGGACCCAAAACCTCACCAGTACAACACAGGCCAGATCTCCCAATGCACAGGTTCTTCATCCATCACTTAGATTCCTCACCTTTTCCAGGTCTGCACAGCTGCCAAAGTCCTGCTCAGAGAGGTAGCTGATGAGGGACTGCCCTTCCGATGGTCGTCGGAACATGCCTTCCCCAGAGCACAAGTATTGACCACTTTCTGTGGGAAAATGTAATGAAGATGTAAACAGCTCTGAGTCAGGATGCAAATCTGTTAAAGGTCAAGTTTCTTCAAGAAGTCTGAAGATTTTACCATTATAGAAGCTCCTAAGTCTTTCCAAGTAATTGGGAATTAGAGATTGGAAAGAAGATGTCTAGCTTCTAAAGAAATTTCTCTAAATCTCAATCACAGAGTATTAATAAATGCCTTGATTAGAGAACAGTGGAATAAATGAAGAGAGCCCAGCCTTGCGTGGTGACAAGAGACAATCATTTCACCACTTAAAGATGACATACTCTCCTTCTACCCTACAAGAAAAACCAAACCAAACTGAAACCTTTTACTAAGTATCAGAAAAAAAAAAAAAAACACAAATGGCTTTCTAATCTGGATGAGTTCAATGTGGAGTTTGTCTTCTGGTAACTAAGCCCAGCTACTCAAAGGCCTCTTTTCAAGGTCTCTCTCATCCACTCAGAGCCATTCCATTTGGCAGACAGACAGGGCAATAATACCCACAGTATGACAGGGTGGGACCCCTAAGTCAGAAATGAATGAGAGAAATAACAGGCAAGCGTGATTTCTAACACTTCTACGAGTTGAAAATGATGAAAGGGAGGGTGAGACTGTAGTGTGTATCTACCACAGAGTCGAGATGAGCCACAAAGCTCAGAGCTCAGCAGGCACAAGGGGAGAACAGAGAAAAGACAGAATTTCAGCTCTGGCCCTCGTGCTGCTAAGCTCACTTACCATACTCCACGTACAGAGAACTGGGTGTGCTGACTTCGCTGCTTTGGCCAGAGTAGGGCAAGGGGCCTCTTAACTTCAACTTATCATTGCAGGACTCTAGTATCAGTAATTATCAGGGAGTAAAAACAAACATACAAGGTGAGCAACAGATACATTCCCAACTTTGTTTTTGTTGTTGTTATGTGCCGTCTAGTCAAACCCGACTCATAGCGACCCCTCCTTGGGTTTCCGAGGCAGTTATCACTACGGAAGTAGGATTGCCCAACCTTCCTTCCGAGGAGTGGCTGGTGGGTTTGAACCGCCAGCCCTCTGGTTAGCAGGCAAGTATCTTAGCCACTATGCTACCAGAGCTCCCTTCCCAAGTTTAGAGTTTCAGTATTTAACTGCTCCCATTCTAGTGCCCTCACAAACAAGAGAGAGGCAGCACACCAACAGGGAACAGCCCAACAATGCAGGACACATGGAGGAAAGGAAATGGGAACTCAGAATGATCTAAGGGGAAAGAGAAACATGATCCAGAATGGGCAGCACAAAGGTGAAAAACAACCAAATGGAAAGGGATTCATGAATTTAGTTCTCTTTTCTTCCATCTTCTTACCAAATGCTCAGGAATATCAGGCAGTCTCTATCCTCTTGACAAACTGATTTAAAAAGTAGTTCTCAGATGCAAATTTTTCTAATACTTTGACACAAGGCTTTTTGGTTCTGTTTTGACACTAGCTTTTAAAACTATCAGAAGATTTGCACTTTTATATTCACTAAACATATACTAAGATATGACCGCTCTTGAACCTGAAATGTAAATTTGTCAGACCTACAAATTTAACCCAATTCTGAATTGGCAGAATAATAAAATAATACCCAGCAATGTTCTTAAAAGAACCACCAAGACTATGCTAGTGAAGGCAAGGACGATGGCTATAACTGGAGAGACCACATGGCTATGGGTCCAGCCTTACTGGAGAAAGAAGGGAGAGGTTTCAAGAGAACACTGGCAAAGAGAAGGTGCCTAGATAGAAGTTTTCAAGGAACAGTGAGAGTTAGCAGCAGAACAGCAGGGCTTGCAGGAAATGAGAAACAGCTATTTTCCTAAGGGAAATATAAATTTTCCAGTGTCATAGAAGAGCAGGTGGAAAAGCAGGTGGGGCCTGAGAAGTGAGCAGGATGCTCTGGGAGAATGAATGAGCTGCAACCAACCCATTCCCTTGACAAATGGTGCCAACTTGTCAGCTGTTCCTCTCGCAAAGAAGCTGCTGTGTGTTAAGAGATACTGTTGTGTTCTCCTTGGGCCTCAAAGACTTCTGGCCCTGGTTCTGCTCCTCTCTACTGAACTGAAGACAAACTGCAGTCACCATAATGTCTTTGTAAGAAACCATGGATTTGGAAGGTGACTTTGAGATCCCCAGTGAAAGTTAGTGCATTACATAAACCCCAACGATAACAACTTACTGCTATACAATCTATGGCTGTCTAGCTTTTGCTTCCTGGACTCACTACTTCCTAACCCTGCCCAAATGAACAGCTATGTATCTTAGAGAGTTTCCTTATACTCACCTGAAATCTGTCTTCTTACAATTTTTCACCTCCTTTAGCAACAACAAAGCTCTTATAAACAATGGTCTTACTATGTCCTTTAAGTACAAAGCTCTTCTAAACAGTGGCCCCGCAGACTTTTATTTCTCTTTAACCTTTTCTTTTCCAAGCTAACATACCCAGTGACTTCCCTCATTCCCAGGAGGCTAGGGTTTTCAGTCCTTGTTCACTATTCTGTCTTGGAGACACATTCTAATATTACTATTTCCTTGAATTATGCTACTCAGAATAGCGCACAATTCTCAGTTAACCACCACCATAAAAACCAAGTAAAAAGACTTAAGTCACTACGAAAATTCTGTGCAATGGCTGGAATGGGAGGGGAGATATAACAAGGGAAGGATGACAGGTGAGAGGAAATGGGGGACTCTAGGACAGTCAACACACATGCACCTATATAGAAGACCACAAAAGAGGAGAAAATACATTCTGGTGTTAATTCAAGGAAAATAAAGTAATCCAATAGTTGTTGTTGTCGTTATGTGCTGTTGAGTTGGATCCGACTCATAGCGACCCCTCCTTGGGTTTCTGAGGTGGTATCACCACAGAAGTAGATTGCCCAACCTTCCTTCCGAGGATTGCCAAGTTATAAGAAGTATTCTGCCAGTGATTCATCATGATGTCTCAGAAAAGAGCAGGCCTCCATTGCACCTTTGTATTAAAGAGAATTGATCATTCTTGCTCTGTCTCCCAGAAACTGCTGGGAGACTGAACCAGGCATTTCAAAGTTGTGGGCAGAAAAACATGTTATACAAAATATTTATGTCCTTTTATAGAGAGGTTCAAGCATCACAGCAGGACAAACTAGCCAGACTTGATTTCACACCAGAATGGAAAAAAAGAAGGTTCTGAAGTAAGCAAATGGTCACAGGGAAGCAGAAGGAAGAGGAGGTGGAGGACAGAAAGGAAGAGGACTGGCTCCCAAACCTGCAATGGGATCTTCAATTATAATGGTGATATTCCTGGGATCTCCTGTAGGTAGCCAGACAGGTGCAGAGGAGAGTCCAAACAGAGCAAACAATAGAGAGAAAAAAAAAGAGTGTGCTTTTACCTATCAGAGGTGGGGACCTAATTTGCAAGAGGGTACTCTAGTGCTGAAGGAGAGATGACTGATATAAGAAGATTTCCATGACCCATACTCCTTCAGACTCTTCTGCATAGGTTTTCCCTGGCTCCTTTTCCCAATGCAGGTTACTGTGGTTTCTGGAATCCATGTGGATTCAAGAATGGGGTCAGGGACATTTTACATGCTCAAAGGCCAGTGGCCTGAAGTACAGTAGACACCAGGCCTGTAGCAGGAGATGTGAAGCAAGCATCTAACCCAAGCACTCTTCACATCTAAGGAAGCTGGTGGAAAGACAGGCTTTGAGTCGGAGACTTTTTTCCCAAAGGAGTTCCAGTAAGTCATACCAGATTCTTCAGGGAAAAAAATACAAATGGTTTCTCATTCAGAAGGTTTCAGATGAGGGCCTTAGTGCTCACCTTTCTAGAAATTACAAAAGGAAGTCAATGGCAGCTCCAGCTACAATATGAAATCCTTTTTTGCATGTCTTTCTATCTTTTTTAGATTTTATTTCTGGAACCTCACCATCCAGAACTGACTTTGAGCACAAAGGTCCACTTTATACTTGCTATTATGGAGATTCTTCCACAAGTGAACCCAATCAAAGCCTGCCAGACACCAATAACCTAGGAAAGATAATGGCAGGGAGATGGCAAAAGCAATGATAGCCACCAAGTGTAGGCTGCTTGCTGCTACTGCCTGGTGTTTCTGTGGGAAGCACCAGTGGGCCAGGGCTTCCTTACCTGACTGCCTCTTAACCTGAATTACTGAGAAGCTACCTACTTACTTACTTATTAAGTCACATTACCTACATTCACTCATCCCTAGTTCTAACTGTTCTTATTGACAGGGGCTATCAAATCGATTACAACTTATAGTTGCACAACTTGACATAGCAGAACCACTTCACAGTTTGCTAGGCTGGTGGCATAGTGCCTAAGGCATTTGACTGCTAACCAGAAGGTTGGCAGTTCAAACCTACCAGCCACTCCTCGGAAGGAAGGTTGGGCAATCTACTTCCGTAGAGATACCGCCCCAGAAACCCAAGGAGGGGTTGCTATGAGTTGGGTCCGACTTGACGGCAGTACGGTGTGTAATCTTTACAGAAGCAGATTCCCAGGTCTTTTCTTCCGTGGAGCTGCCAGGTGGTTCTGGACAGCCTATCTTTCAATTAGCAGCTGAGTGCTTAAGGAGCTCCAGCAGAGATCCTTAGTTTTAATCAGGAAATCGACATATCACTTTGCTTTCCCATACCGGAAGCACATCTTGACCAAACTTCTAAGGAATTGCAGAAAGAAGAGGAATTTAATGGGATTATTTTTAAAGCTTATTAGTACTTCTCCTGGGTCTGAGAGATACATCTAAAACTTGAACTGTGATGAGTCACACTATTCTCTTAATGCTCATGAACTAAGTAGGGAAAGAATCCAGGAAAATGTTTGATATTTAGTAACGTATAAAGGAGTAACATAAAGATGCTCACAGATTCTTGAGTATCCATATTACATCACAAACTTCTCTCTTTCATTATAAGCAGCATACCTGTCATGTCATCAGAAACAAATTTCTCTTTCTGCCAAGTGAAGAACCCTAAGAACAAACGCTCCCTACTATCCTAAATTCAGGAAGCCACCTGGCCAACTAAAGGCTAGTGCTTATATTACCTGGGGCTCCACTGGAGACAATGTTGGTATCCGAATGACAACGAGTGTGACTCTTCTTTGTTCCACTGGTGACGGTGAGTGTCTGCCCCTCTGAGAAGCTAGACCTGCGAAGGACACTAGACAGCTGGTTCTGCCCACCTTCCTCCTGGTCGCCTAGGGAAGAAGCAGCAGAATCTGGCTTCTGAGAGCTGCCAGAGGAGAACAAATTGAAGCTGCTGCTCTCAGCATTGCTGCTGTGACTCTGACAACTGGTGGTCTGGCTTCGGGGATCCAGGTTGCCAATGGCCAGGTACTCGGGCCCCTCACTGGCATCACTTGGGGATTCATTCTGGCTGCTGACCCAGGATGCCTCTATGGGGCTGGTCAGACTGCTGGAGCTCATTTCATTTGGGGATGAGGGAGAATCCTTGGCTAATGCAGCAATTGACAGCAGAGAGGCTTGAACAGGCTGATCCTCTGCTGGTGAGATGTGTCCTCTGCTTTCTTGAGGCTTCCGGGAAGAGGCAGAGAATGGAAAGAAAGTAGATTTTCTCTCTAGGATATAAAAGGAAATGGAAGGAAACGGGCTGGAATCCTGCAGTATGTATGAAGGGCTTCTTCCACAACTAAGGACCAAACTCCCAAGGCTATTGGACCAAACTCTAAGGGCCATATTATACATTGTGTCACCTCTAGAAAGGTCAGCAAAATGAAATAAAAAAATTATTTAGAAGCAGCTAGGTCAAGTACATGGGCTTTTGAGAAAGTGGGTTCACTGCTTATTAGTGTGCATGTCCTCTCTGTAAAACGAGCATAAATAGTAACACCTACCTCACAGGACTATTAGGAGGATCAATGAGATAATAATATATAGAAATTGATAACAGCAGAGCCTGGCACATGGCAGGCACTCAGTAAATGTTAACTATTATTATTTAAATGCCTTCCTGCAATGTGGATTAGAAACCCAGAAGAATTTAAAAACACCTCTTTCTTCTGTTAATTAAATGATTCTACTGAATTAGCTTAGGCTAACTGCTATAAAATTTTTTAAGATATCATTATTAAGACAGGAAGTCTGACAAGCTACACCAACCCAAGGCTCTAAACCCAGTCCAGGAGCATCCACAAAGTCTACTATGTTCTGGAGCGGGAGGTAAATGTAACACCTACCCCTTCCTCCCCCCTTACCTGAGCCATGGTTGAGCATGGATTGGTGGAGGCCAGAGTAGGAATGCTGAGTGTAGCTGGTTGGAGCAGTGTATGTGGAACCAGGCAGTGCTGTCAGGCTCTGGCTCTTGGTCACCAGGAGTGGGCTCTCATGCTTCCCAGCAAACTATAAAAAAAAAGCAAAGACAAAAGTTTTAAAAACCCCAAGGGGTCAGAGTCAAGGACAGAGGCCCTCAGATGAGGGGCGCTCAGCACTGCAGCAATGCTGGTAGAAGCTGGCCTTTGGCAGCAGGCTTGGGCTACAGCCAAAGCCTACAGATGTACCATGTTGTTGTTGTTATGTGCCATCAAGTAGGCCCTGACTCACAGCGACCCCTTCTTGGGTTTCCGAGGCGGTATCACTACGGAAGTAGATTGCCCAACCTTCCTTCTGAGGAGTGGCTGGTGGGTTTGAACCACTAGCCTTCTTTTTAGCAGTCAAGTGCCTTAGGCACTATATACCAGAGCTCCTATGTTATTGTTAGGTGCCATCCACTTGATTTGCAACTCATAGCAACCCATTCATGTGACAAAGTAAAACTGCCCCACAGGGGTTTCTAGGCTGTAATCTTTATGGGAGCAGATCAACAGGTCTTTCTCCCATGAAGCCACTGGGTGGGTCTAAAGCACCCTTTCAGTTAGCAGCCGAATGCTTAAACATTACACCATCACATTCCTTGTAGATACAGGATGTTGTTGTTGTTGTTACGTGCCATCGAGTCAGCCTCAACTCATAGCGACCCCTCCTTGGGTTGCTGAGGCAGTATCACTACAAAGGATAGCTACACTCTATTACACTCATCTGTTTCTAAATGAAATCTCAGAGTCTTGCCATGTACCATAGCTTTTGCTACTGGAATCCTTCTGGGTAATCAAACCAGGAGTGCTTTGTCACAGAGGCAGTACAGTAAAGTGCTTAAGGCTTTGTGTGTGGAATCCAAAATTAGACAGACTGGGGATTCGAACCCAGACCCTGTCACTTACAAGCTATTTGGTCTAAACTTTGGGCAAGTGACTTATCTTCTCTGTGCCTCCGTGGACTCGTTTATAAAATGAGATAAATGTCTAGCTTGAAAAGGTGTGAGGATTAAATGAGATGATGCATTACTGTGCATTGCACTATGCCTGGCACACAAAAAGTATTTAGTGGATGGTAACCAAGAAGCAAATTAAAACAAGCAGGAGAGCAAGGAATTCCTTCTAAAAGTAGTAGGGACTCTGATTCCATTCTAGCTAAGGTACTGACTAGAATATTTGTGCTGAGGTGAGTGGCTGGAGAGTTAATTATAAGCAACATTTAGCAACAAAATCTTTATATTCCAAGGACAAAAATGATCTTGTGTAATATTACACTCAGTAAACTCTACTCCAGCTCTGACTCAGTAAATGCTACTCCCGATTCAGAATCATCCCTCTTCTTCCCAACCCTCTGTCAAGTCTGCCCTTAGGAAGGTACTTTCTCAGACTCAGGATTCCAAAGGTTTTAAAAAGCCAGGCTCCCCCTTCTAAAGAGACCTAAGCTTTGACTTTTTACTTCAATAAGTATTTGATGGTACCTTCTGCTTCTCTCCAACCTTTTTTTTCTTTCCTTTCATTGATAGCCTTTCAGTTCACAACTGTGTAACTGAAAAAGCAGAGAGTTACATCATGGTGAGGCCCAGGGTCTTAGCATAGACAGAGATGATTCCTTGCCCCCTTTACCATAGATGCATCAATCTGAGCCAGCAGGCGGGGGTTGTTCTGTTCCACTGCTTCCAGGCACTGAAGCATCGCCGTGACGTGAGCGTCACTTAGCAGGAAAGCAGTATCTGGGGAGAGAAAAATCACTGCAGTGATGGAGCCCATCGGGAGATCTTTAGCTTCCCTATAGAAGCTTAGGGAAGGAGAGAGAAAGACAATAGAAACAATCTGAAGAGAATCATGCCACAGTGGGGAGACAGGGAAGGTACAAGAAGGATAAGAACAAGAGATAAGTAATGTGCAGTACAGCAAGAAGGCCAATACAAGAGGCTTCAGTATCAGAAACACATATGAACTAGAAACTAAACAACCAGAACACAATTAAAGAGAATGCTGACACACTGTGAAAAATGTAACTATTGTCACTGATTAATGTGTATAGATATTGTCAAATGGGAACCTAATTTATCATGTAAACTTCCACCAAAAACACAGTAAGATATTTAAAAAAGAAAGAAAGACCTAGATATGAATCCTAGTTCTACCATTCATTAGCTGTGTGACTTTTGCCAAGTCCTCTAACCTCCTTGAGTTCTGTTTCCCTGACTGGAAAACAGGAGTGAAAATAACCATCTCTCAGGGTTATTGTGAAGAATATATGTATAAAATTACATAACAGTGATTAGCACATAGGAAACTCTGAATAAATGATGTTGTTGTTGCTGTTGTTATGTGCCGTCGAGTCAAATCCGACTCATAGCGACCCCTCCTTGGGTTTCTGAGGCAGTATCACTACGGAAGTAGGATTGCCCAACCTTCCTTCCTTCTGAGGAGTGGCTGGTGGGTTTGAACCGCCAACCATCTGGTTAGCAGGCATGTGTCTTAGCCACTATGCTACCAGAGCTCCCGAATAAATGATAGTTATGCTTATTGGTTTGTATGTTATCAGAGAAGGAGAATTCCTTAGCATAAAATGTGATTGTGCTTTTTCATGGGAAGTAAGAGGGAAGAGTGGATGTGTGTTCCTAATTAGAATCTCTATGGCATCAAGTGAAGTAAGAGGCCCTTCAGGTTAGAGAGTGTATGGAAGGGCAGTGGGTGGAAGAGAACGAGGAAACATGTGCAACAATCCTGGCTAAGTGACTTCCACCTACCTGTGTAGAATTTTCTGATATACTGTCGATCCCCAAGCAGAGGCCTGAGCTGGGCTGAGAGACAGTGACACTGTAAGCTGTGCTGCAGCCACAACTCTGCCACAGCACGCTCACTCACACCATCAGCACTGCTCTGCTCATTCTCATGCAAGTTGATGAACTGGGAGGCAAACAGACATGAGTCAAAACATAAATTCTGGAAGATACAACAGGATTGAGGCCTTTAACCTGACAATTAAACTGAGATGGGTAAGGGGAGGTAATCAGAGGTATTTTTCCTCCAGGTAGCATCTAGAAGTTACTGAGGAAGGAGAGGGAAGGAAGGAATTATGGGTTCACAGCTAGATTGGGTCACTGGTCAGGAACTAAGTAGTAAAGACTTGATGTGAGGCTCCAAAAGAAGACAAAACTGCTAGATCTGGCTCTTTATGTTTTAACTCCAAAGAGGCACTGTGCTGTTATATTTAAGGAAGGACGAACTTGACCTCGTTGCTTCTCTCAGAGTCCTGGTGACCTCTAGAAAAGAATGTGACAAAAACCTGGGGGGGAAAATCTAGGAAAAATGCCATCAAAGATTCTCCACAGGATTCTCTATTTGAAACATCCTTCTAGTCAGCTGTTTCTAAACGTGAAGCCTTGTAGCCCAGGATCAAAAAGTACATGGATGGCAATTTTAGTGTATGGATGGCATTTTCTCCTAAGAGGAAATGACTAGAGCAACGTATTTTAGAAAAGGAAACTGGATGAGGCCTTGGTGGGGAAAATAAAGTAAGAAGGACAAAGAAAATCTACACAGAACATCTTTGGGCTATGACCTAATTCTCACAAAAGCAGGCCAGTGTGACACCCTATGATCTGGCTCCCTGATCATTTAGAAGCAAATTACCTTTCCTGACATCATCTCAGCAATAACTGGCAGTGGGAAGAGTAATGAAGTAAAACCAGTCATGTACTAATTAGTATTGAAGATGGGTGATGGATTTTGTATATATTTGAAATTTTTTATAATAGTTAAATACATACATACAAAAATTGGACAGCAACTGTTCTGGAAGAGCAAGCTAAGAGGAGAGGAAAGCAGAGTACTACACTGGTAGCCAAAGCTGTTAGGAACACATCTGACTCCAGAAAGCTTATATTTCTTTCTAACTGGTATGTCTTCTTTCTCTTTAAACACTTATCAGCATAGTGGTTCCACTCCCCAACCACTTCAGGGAACTCCTTGTCATCTCCCCCTCATTTTTAAGAGCTTTACACTGGGGTTCCAAGTATAAAGATGTCTTGAAGATAACAAAACTTTCTCACCCCTTCCCCAAAGGAGAGAAAGTGACCTGGAGCAATGAGCTTGCAAGGCTTATTTTTTAAAAGCAATTAACACCCTCAATCAAATTATCCCTATATCCTATAGGGATAATTTCCTATCTTTCTCAGTTAATAAGAAACTTGACCCACTCCATTCTTCCAACTTAAGGGACCCTTCACACAGAACATCAAACAATGAGTCTTGTGGTTACACCCCAGCACACCCACTTTTCCTTCATTCCTTACCTTCTCCACATGCAGGGCTGAGTGGGGACTGAGCCACCGAATGTCCTTCACAAACTGCCAGTAATCTGTCTGGCGGCAACACACCTGAGAGAACACACAGGGTGAACAAATCACTACTATTCTGGGCCAAATCTAGTTCTAATGTTGACAGTCAAAGTGAGAAAAAAGAGCAACACTTGCCTCAGCCATGGTTCTCAGCAGCAATCAAAGGAATATATACATCTTTCTACCCCTTTAAAGGGTAATTCTTTAAATTTATTACAATAATTCTTTTAAACAGGTAATACATGCAGTGATATAAAAGGTAATGCAGCAAGACTGACTTCTGGCATGGCACCATGAGGAGCTCCACCGGCCTGCTACCTGATGAGGCTGGTGAAAATTATTTAAAGAAAACAACCATTCAAAGCCTCTGGAAATGATTCTAAGGGTGAACAGCAAATGAAGAAACATCTATTCAAAAAAAATCTATGAAAATTCTGTAAGAAAGGCAAGAGTCTGTGGTATTTAAACCAAACTGTCTTCCACCCCCACCCCACCCCAGCTCAGGGAAGAGAGATTCCGCTCCACTGGAATGGAATCTAAGGGGGAGGTTCCCTCTCCCCTTAGATCCCAGCCAAAGAGCTTTCTTCCCAGGAGGACCAAGACTTCAACATTTCTCATCCTGCTCCCAGTTGTCTGTTGCTGAGACTAAGGACAGGGCGAATGCAGTTGAAAAGTGGGGGCTCCCTTCTTCCACACAACCTCACTCATGAAACAGAGGCTCTACCTTGGGTGTGGCACACTGAGAATACTGGGGCCTTGAGAGTCCTTCCTGTGGCTCATGAGTTCCATGCCAGGAGAAGCAAGCCAAGCAGCCCAAGTTGCTATCCCCCTCTACTGGATGCTTAGCTCCTAGAGCAGAGGATTTACTCAGAGAAGACTGGCATTGTTCCCACCCCCAGCTCCAGAGCTCTGGCTCAGAGATTTTGTCAGTGGAGTGAATGAAGCAGGTCATCAAACAGATAGCTACTAATCTCTCCCCAGAGGAACTGACTTCATTTGCAACAAAGTGTGGAAAAAATTAAACTTAAGGGTGCTATCAAGGAGATGGAGGTTGTATTACCAGTAATAACAAACATTAATCTACAGGTAGCTACCTAGATAAACAGGCTGAATGACCAAGTGTACCTTGGCAAAGGTAATATATCCATGACCATATATAAGGTTGGCCAATAATACTTCTACATACGTTATTTATATGTGCTGTAAGAATGTCCATATAAATATGACTAATGGGGCAAAGTTATAACTTCTTAGCCACAGTCAACCTGGAGGCTTGGGACCAAAGTCGCTGGGGACATCAAGTTCAACTGGCATAACATACTACACAAAAACATTGTTCTATGAAGAAAACCAAAGATTCATGGAAACAATTAGTCCGAGCGACTGGTACACCATGCAATCCACAGCCTATACGATTATGAGACTAGAAGAACTAGATGGTGCCCAGCTATCACTGTCAACCACTCGAAGGGGTATCTATGTAGGAGATCCTGGGTGGAGAGGGAGAACAAGATGGAACAAAACTCAAAATCATTTGGGGGGAAAAAAAAGGGGGGCGGGGACCAGGTCTGCTGGTCTGATAGAGCCTGGTGGAACCACCGAGACTATGGCCCCTAGCTGCTCTTCAGGTCTGGAATTCAACCCACACCTGTGGCTTCCAGCCAAACAAAAGACAGGCATATGAGTGGAACATTTACCTGAGGTAGATACACTCCTTGGAGAGAACAAGCATGGGAGAAAGAAGGGCTATATATGTACAGGGAGACAGCTCAGAGGGCAGGAGTGCATGGAAGGATGGACACAGGGAAGATGTAACTATGGGAGGAAGTGGGAGGGGCGCTGTTGCATTGGGGTAAACTGTGGTCAATGTCATGAGACAAAGTATATGTGAACTGCTGTGTGGAAACTGAATTTGCTCTGTAAATCTTCACCCAAATCACAATTTATAAAAGAAAAAAAAAAAAAAAAAACATTGTCTACATCCTACTTTGGTGAGTAGCAACTGGGGTTTTAAAAGCTTGTAAGCTGCCATCTACATGCAACTATTGGTCTCTCCTTGTCTGGAATAAAGATGAATGAAGAAAACCAAATACACATGGAAATAATTACTCCAAGGGATTAACAGACCATGTGAACCTCAGCCTACATGACACTGAGACCAGAACTAGATGGTGCCCAGCTACCACTGTCAACCACTTGGAAAGGGATCAGTGCAGGAGATCCTGGATACAATGGGAGAATAATGTGGAACAAAACTCACAGTCATAAAAAAAGACTAGGCTTATTGGTCTGATAGATACTGGTGAAATCCCCAAGACTATGGCTCCTAGTCACCCTTTGGGCCTGAAATTGAACTCACTCCCGTGGCTTCAAGCCAAATACTAGACAGGCATGTAAGGTGAACACTTACACAAGGTAGGCACATTCCTTAGAACAATCACTCATGGGAGCTAAGAAGAGCAGTATTTGCACAGGGAGATAGCTCAGTGGGCAGGGATGCATAGGAGAGAAGGGCACAGGGGAAGGGTAGCCACAGGGAGGAAGTGGGAAGAGAGTTGTTACATTATGGGGACTGCAATCAATGTTATGGAACAAAATGTGTGAAAACTGTTATATGGCAAATGGATTTGCATTGTACACTTTCACCCAAATCAAAATAAAAAAGGACCTGTAAAGGAAAGAAAAAAATAATAACAAGAACAATAGAGGTTGCAGTGAAAACCAACCGGATGGAGATTCACGGATCTAATAAAGACACAGCTTAGGCTTTAAGCCTGCTAAAGACAGCTAAAGGAGCCCTGGTGGCATAGTGCCTAAGGCATTTGACTGCTAACCAGAAGGCTGGTGGTTCAAATCCACCAGCTATGGCTCAGAAGGAAGACTGGGCAATCTACTTCCATAGTGATACTGCCTCAGAAACCCCAGGAGGGGTCGCTGTGAGTTGGAATCAACTCGACAGTGAGTTTGGTAAAGACAGCTAAGAGGAGGCCTCTTGGGGTCAAAACTAGTATTACAAAGCTTACAGCACTTACAAGGGAACACCAATAACAGTAATAGCAGACTTCTCAGCAGAAAAAATAGCGGACAAAAGGTAGTGCAATAACATAAACAACTGTCAATCAAGAATCCTATTTTCAGTAAAACTATGTTCAAAAATAAGGGCAAAATAAAGACATTCTAAAATAACTGAGAGAATTTACTGGAGACCTACTTTACAAAAAATATTAAAGGAAGTTCTTCAGACTATAAGCAAATGATCCCAGGCAGTAACTCAAATAGAAATATACAAACAAAAAATCTATATAGTGAAAATAATCTGTTTTATACCCATCTTTCTATGATTCAGTTCCAGAAAATGTAATTCTTAAAACCAGTGAAGAGGTATTTGTTAAAAGCCAGAGATACATGTCTTCAGTTCCTACTATAAACAAAATTAAGTACAGAAAGACCTGGTTCAAATGAGAGTTGTACTTAGAGCCAAAGAAACTTCGTATCATGAAAACCTGTTTATGTCACTTGTACTTGTTGCTATCATTTCACACTTAAATGATTATATATATTGATGAAATGAATATATATTTATGAATACTAAGTAGTATGCTCTGAAAAGCCTCAACAAAGCTGTGTCACTATAAAAACCATTGAGTTGATTCTGACTCATAGAGACCCCTGTTAGGTTTCTGAGGTGGTAAATCTTTGAGGAAGTTGATTGCCCTACCTTCCTTCTGCTGAGCAGCTGGAAGCCTGCCAACCTTCTGGGTAGCAGTCAAATGCCTTAGGCACTGCACCACCATTGCTCCTTTGATGACCAATTAGGTGCTGGCAAGGCAATTTTCAGCTACGAGAAAAAAACTAAACATTTAGAAGGTTTTATATTCCTTTTACAAGATTTTTAAATTGCTGGTTTAGAACAAAGAAATTGAAACTGGGAATCCTATCTCATCTATCATGAGTGTAGTTTATACAAGAAAGGTGTCATGCAACTCCATTAGTGGATCCATACAGAAAAAGTTTTGGTGCTATACGCAAAGACTGTTGAATGAATACAAATTTACATATTTTAAATTAAAATGCTTGAGTTATGTATGTGACTACTGCTTGATTACCTTCTCTCAATCAATCAGTTAAGACTCCAGATCATGTTGTATAAAAAGGCCTTTTCTGTCCTTTTCAGGAAATGATATGGTTTTCAGGTAAATAAAATGACAAATTTTGCATGTTTGGAGGAAAATAACAATAACAGGAGATGCCGTAAAAGACTATCTCATCATTAAGTAAAGGTACAATAACTAAAATTGAATGGTGGAAGACACATGGAAACAATTAGTCCAACTGACTAATGGACCACACAAACCCCAGCCTCCACACTCTGAGACCAGAAGAACTAGATAGTCTTATAGAGTGGTGGAACTCTCAGACGATGGCCCTTAGACACTCTTCAAGCCTGGAACTGAACACATCACTGTGGCTCAACTTTTAGCCAAACAATAGACAAGGCTATCAGGTGAACAATAATACCAGGGAAGTACAACAATCAACCAAACAAGATCAAAAGGGCAGAATTTACCCAGGGATAAAGCTCAGAAGTCAGAAATGGACAGAAAAGAAGGACGAATGGAAAAAAGAAACACAGGGGAAAAAGTAGGGAGAGGGCTGCTACATTGTGGGGATTCCAATCAGTGTCACAAAAACAAAATGTATATGAATTGTTGAATGGAAAACCAATTAGCTGTGAACTTTCACCCATATCACAATAAAAAATTAAAAAAAAGAAAGGCTGAATGACCATGGAAAACAGAGAACAGAATATAACAGAAATCCAGCAAGAGATCCAAACACACAGGGAATTAAGTATATTCCAAATAAATCACAAATGGAATGGTTTAAATGTAAAATATTGAGCCATAAAACAGAAGAAACCATGGAAAAACATTTTTTTTGTTTTTGTTTTTGTTTTTATTAGGATTTGGGTGAAGATTTACAGAGTAAATTCACTTTTCATACAGCAGTTCACATATACTTTGTCTCATGTCATTGAC